AATGTGGGAATATGGAACCAAGCTTTAAGTTTTCTTCATTTTCTTAAGAACGAGTTAGAGCAAAACACGTTTTTAGGTAGATTACAACATTAGATAAGTCCAACTAAACAGTCTGACATTTTGAATTTTGTCAACAGTTTATTGACTGTAGATAATCAATTTAATATTATCATATATATTATTTAAGAATTACTATGGTAATTAAGAATACAAATAAAAAGTAAAAGAATCACCCCTTATCCACCATCTCAAGCTTCAAATATTCTTCCATTTACTCTCCATATGTATAAAATGTACACTTTTTATTATTGTAATCATGGTATTGTCTTATATTCTGCTTTATGGTTTTATTATTTTCATATGCATTCCTCCATGTTGCTATGTATTTTAATTTTGCATCATTTTCAAAGGATTAATGATTCTCTTTCAGGTGGACTTAATAAAATTTAACCTATTTCCCTACAGCTAGACATTTGGTTTCTTTCCCCTCTTTGTATTAATGTAGCCTCCAAGCTCCGTGGAAGATATTTGTGTGTACATCTTTACTATCCTTGTTAACAATTGCTTTAGCGTAAATTTCCAAAAATTAAGCTCCGGGGTCAAAATGTTTTCTAAATGTTGTCTAAATTTAAATAGCTACAAGTTTGAATGTGGACACAAAATTTGTGTATGCACAATTTGTAGTTTCATATTCTTAAAAAATAAACCAGTACTTAAAAAGGAAGCTATCTGTGGGCTTATTTGAAAAATCAGGACTTCCAGCACATTCAGCTCTCTGGCACAAGTGGCTTTGCTGGATCTGACCACGCTAGTTCTTAACCTAGCCAGCTGCAGTCAAAATGCAAGAATTGTTCTTGAGAACTCCGGGTTCCTCACTGGTGGTTTGAATAAATTTATTTCACTGGTGGTGGTGTGTGAATGTTTTTTCCATTTTGTTTAGTAAATGTAAACCCATTGATAAATCCCTAAGACATTCCCCAGTCTCATATTTATGGCACATATTGTTGGCTGGACAGAGAGTGAGATCATACATAATTAACAAAGAAACACAGACAATCAAGTACAAAGCAGCAACTAGGGATCTCCCTCACTTTGACAGCAGGCCACCCTACACATAAGTCGAGTGCAGGTGGACGACTCAGTGGGGTTGACTGTGGTGCACACGCCACACTCCTGAGCACACGGCGTCTGTGCAGCCCTGCTGGTCACCTCAGTTCCTGGGATCTGAAACTAGGTAATGATGACAGACTGAAGGTGGCTGAGAGCTGAATATAGAACTAGTGAGGATCAGAAGAAAATTGAGGAAATAGAAAAGAAAAAAGAAATCAAAAAGTCAGACTTACTGATCTTGCTTTTAAATATATAGCATTTTAAATATAAAGGAAATTTTGACAAATAGATTGAACAGAAGGCCATAATACACATTTTAAAAAGAAACTCCTTTCATTTATCACTCTGAATTCATGACATCGGTGTGCACAGATGCAACACAAGTTGGTTTTACTCTTTCCGACAGAACAGTACCATGGTGGTCAGTGAACTCCAGAAGGCAGCCCTGGTCAAGTCCATGCTCAGTGCGGAAGAGAGGTTCTTTCTCCCTCGCCTTCGGCTTACACATTTTCCAGGATTATTTGGGCACCTGGAATCTTGGAGAACACAGGGATCTCTGTAAACGAATGTGAGAAGAGAAACAAGATGGTTATTAACAGATTGCATAGAATCAAAAGGAGAGTGTTCCATAAACAGCTTCCTGCTCTAAGAGTCAGAAGTTCAACATCACATAGCATAAGGACAGTGGTCAATAAATATGTATTGACATTGAAATACTATTCAGCCCTTAAAAAGAATGAAATAATGTCATTTCCCGCAACACGAATGAAACTGAAGGTCATTATGTTAAAGGAAATAAGCCAGACACAGAAACAAATTTCACATGTCTCACTCATGTGTGGGAGCTAAATATAACTTTGAATGTTTGATAGCAGAGTAGGGTGACTATAGTCAGCAACAATGTATTATACATTTCAAAGTAGCTGGAAAAGAGAATCTGAAATACTCCCAACACATACAAATGATACTCAGGATGATGGATACCCCACATACCCTGACTTGGTCACTATAAAACCTATGCAAGCAACAAAATATCACAGATGCTCCATAAATATGTAAAATACTACGTACCAAAAATAAATAAACATCAAGTGAGTACAAATACGAATGAATGAATAAAAATTCTACAGCAACCAAACATGTTAAAATTTGTTCAAAAAATGAATATACTTGGCTGATGTGGGAATCATTAATGGTTCCAAATTTAGTGTTCCTGGGCAAAATTATTTCCTCTTGGAATCTCAATTTCCATCTCTGCAAAATAAGATAACAATATTCACCTCACATCATTGTGGTGAGTGTTAAGTGAGATTATACATTCCGAGAGCACAACAGTCTTATCCTGGTGATCTGGGTGTATTCACCAAGTAGCAATAAAAATTTGCCTGTCTTATGTACAGTTGCCTAAAGAATGAGTGAACTGATCAAGTAATGAGATATTGGATGTAAGCCACATTTTGTAATTTTTTATACCATTCAAATGTAAGATGTGACATTATTTATAAAACAATTAGGCATATCTTGTTAAGAAATAGGTCATAGTTTTCGCTGAATTAACTGGTTGACTCAATCCAAAATGACAGTTTATTAGGCCTGTGTATATATAACCACCAAATAGTCACGTTGTTGGCACCTGTGCATGTTGGTGTGACCTAAATTCCCAAGCATGAATCTAGGGCTGGTGTTGTACACACTGGCTACATGGTAGACCAGGGAGCCCATGGGCGTTGCAGTGACCCAGACCTGGCTCACATCTCAGATCTGCCATCTGCTTGGCAGGTGACCTTGAGCACTAAGCTGGTTAACCTTCTGAACTTGTTTCTTCATGTATAAAATCATTATCAATTATATATTAGCATGATAAGATGAGATAATATCATACATGTCTAACATAAAATGGGAGATAAGAAATATTGGTTTGCTTCTCATTCTGGTTCCATTCAAATTAAGGAATAAAAGCTTGTTAGAACAATAGGACCAAAACAAAAAGCTAGAAGTGAAACCAACTTTAATAGATGTTACAAAAGAAGAGAGGGAGGGAGGTAAGAAAGGACCTCCATGTCTCTAATTGCCAAGTTTCCCCAGACACCAAGATGACGGTGTGTTGATTTGTCTATGCCCAAGCCTGCCCCACAATTAAGTACCTTGTGTATATAATGGTTTGGAACAACAGTCCGGGGGCCCTGGAGCCCCTGAATACACTGCATTACAGCTGAGGAAGCATGTAGGTGATTTTTGGAGCAGTCCCCGCTTTCCAGAAACAAGAAGCTTTATCGCAGACCTTGACACTTGCTCTTATATAGAATTCATTAAAATCTAGATTGTGTCTTCTTTCTAAAGTCACTTGATTGCCTGCACAGAAAACCTGGAAAATACTTAGGAGCTGGCAGGTAGAGAATCGCTGACTTTTAGTTTTGGAAAATGTATCATGTACAAGTACAGAGCCTCAGGTGTCTGCACAAGTATAGACCACCCCACTCCCAGCTGTGAAGAATCCTAAAGAGCCACGCTATTCCTCAGTTTTTTAGAGACAGACAACACCCTCTGCCTCTGCCAGGATGTTCTTGTCCCAGTAAACCCATCTCACTTTACATTCGTTAACCATGGACCTTTGTCCAGGGGTTTAGTCTGCGGGGCTAGAGAGACACCTGTTTTTTCCTTGTTTGTATGTATGCTGTTTCTTTAGAGATTTCTATGTAGGTTTTATTTGAGCAGCACATATAAATTATGCGGCATGGAAGTAGGTATACTAACTGTAATGTGTTTAATTATTTTAACTAGACTTAGTGACTAGTTATTCATTAATTTTGGAGATGTGAGATTTTGGAGAATGGTTGAAATGTTGTCAAAATAAGTATGAGCTTTGCCTCAGAATGAGTTTGAACCCACCACTCTGCCATGTCTGGGAGAATCGGATTTACCACAGGAAACAAGCATGTCGAGAGGAGGCTTTCCCGATCTTGGCACTGTGGATATTTCGTTCTGGTTAATTTTTTTGTGGGGGCCTGTTCTGTGCATTGTAGGATGTTAAACAGCATCCCTGGCCTCTTCCCATTTGGTACCATTATTACTTTCACCACCTCATTGTGACAACCAAAAATATCTTCAGACATTGACAAATGTCCCCTTGGAAGCAAAATCACCGCTGGCTGAGAACATGGGATCACCCGGAGGGTTTGTCAGAATAGACTTCTGAGCCCTCCAAACAGTTTCTGATTTGATGGGTCCAAAGTGGAGCCTGAGAATTTGCACATTGAACAAGTAGCTGGCGTTGCCGATCCAGAGACGACCCTTTGGCCTAAGGAGCCCTGGGGGTGTGAGCAGTTGGCATATCTGTCTTTCCTCTGTCTGTGAAATCCCTAAGTCGTCGGTTCCCCGATTTTTCTGCAGAGTAGAATCACTTCAAAATCTTTTAAACTTTCCAAAGACCAGGCTATATCCCAGATCAATTCAATCACTACTTCGGGGGTGAGGCACGGGCATTAGTCTTTTTTAAAACTCATCAGATCATTCCAATATGCAGGCAAATCTGGAGACCTTGTTCTAAATGCCATTATCTCATCTGTAATTTGAAGTCTTGGGGTTGAGCAATTTATGTCTTCCCAGCACACGTGTCCTATAAGTCTCAACAGCACAACTAATTCCTAAGTGCTACACAGGACTGTGCAATCTGAGTCTCTGCGGGTAGGAATATGGGGCAAAATTCAATGACAGAAGCTTTGCAATCACAGCATTCTGAAGTTGGAAGAGCACCAAGAATAGGCAGCAATTCACCCTCATTGCAGTAAAGGTGGATAAAGTATACTTTAGAAAAAGGGGCTCTATGGGAAAATGGGGAGCCTTTAGGAGTGCCCTGTGTGAAAAGAGACAAATTTTACACCTCAGCTTTCATGACCCCTCACGTAGACCCCCAAAGGGACCTGCGTCAGGCTCTGAGCCACAGCCTGGAGCCCAGGAAGGACAAGGCAGAAGGAAAAAAGTCAACAAGAGACCGAGATGCCCATGGAGACTGTGGATCAGGGAATCTGAGGTGAGTATGCAATGGAAACTATAAGAGATAGGAAATAATTTAAACCCTCCACCCCATCCATGCAGCCCCAGCTAGCTTATTACAATAAGCTTATTATGAAAAGTCACAAAAAGACAATTCTGTAACTTCTCCTCTGTCAAACTTTCCCACATTTAAAATTTTCAACTATCTGGAATTTTGCTTTTTTAAGGCAAAGTGAGATAATATAATTTATTATTTTTACTGTCATTTTTAATGAGATAATAAGATTTATTGTTTTACTATCATACACACAGTCCCCAGCAAAGCACATAAGCATTCATACTTTTGGAATTAACACTGGCCTTCTGCATAAGCTGCGTATCTTAGATGGCAAAAACCAAGGCTGTGTGAAAACAAAAAAATCTGTAAAACTGTAGGGAAATTTAAAAAGTCACATCAGTACCAAAAAACCAATGAGAATAAAAACACAACAAAAAAATCTTGGGCTAGATGTAGCCCACAACACAAAATGTGTCAGTTGCATCCAGGATTTTGTTTTTCATTCATTCTAGTGGTTCTTAAAGACCTGTTGTGTACCACTTATGATCTAGGCATGGTGGACGGAATAGAAAAATAGATCTGTTTCTCCTGGAAAACAGGGTGAAAGGAAATAAATCTCCCTGAATATTACTCTGAGACACACATACACACATGCACGTGCTGCATTCATTGCCATGTTGAGAAACTGCCTGAGAAGATAAATCAGCAGTGCCGAGACAACCGAGGACGCATTCCGGGGAGCAGGCACACATGCACAGCCCCACCAGCCGGAGGGATGTCGACTTCAGATGACCGTGATGGAAGGTGGCATGGGGATAGCAGTGTTTTCTTGAGCAAGCGTATGCTTCTTTCATCTATCCACTACACATGTTCCTTTGGCCCACCAGCATTAACCAAGGGCCACCATGAACCACAATCCGTCATGAAATAGAACAGAAAGGGCGCAGTCCCTGGTCACAGGTAATTTTCAGTCTAGGTGGAGAGATCTGGAGTGCGACAGAGGAGTTCACTTCACTACAACAAATGCATCCCCCTGCAAGGTTTCACAATATGAAGCGCATGTAAGGGGAACCTCTGAGTGGGAGGGACTAGGAGCTCCTGCCGGTGAGTACCAGAGTTAACTCTGATGATTTTGCAAAACTGATTTGCTTAAGTGAAGGAATAAGAGAGCTAACATTCACTGAATACCTCCTCTGGAAAAGGCATGATCTCACCATTTTCCTTACTCCACACTCTCAATAACCCTGGGAAGTGGGCATGATAATCCTAAGTTATAGAGGGGGAGCAGAGGTCTGAGGTTATAAAAGTGGTAACAGTGCTGACGTTAGTGGCAGCTGAACTCAAAATGTCACATTCCTCGGGTCAAACTCTGTTCTAAGCACTCTACATTTAAAACCACTTTATGCTGCAAACAGTCCCAACAATTTTTGAAATGAGGAACCTGAGGCTGAGTAGCCTGTCCCAGTTACATAGCTGGGAAACTGTGGAGCTGGGGCTTGAACCCAAGCAGCTGGCTCTGGAGAACAGGTACTCAACCACATGCCTTATACTAGATAAAACCAGATAAGAACATTCAGCCAAGTCAGAGTCAAATTATTGCAGATTTTAAACATGTGGGTTCTTGTCCTTTTTCATTTGCCTTGGTGGAGAACCGAGGGAAGGGGAAAAAGGTAACTGATGGTAAGTTGCTACTGCAGAGGTTCTCAGTCGGGGGTGACTGTGTCCCTGCATCTGGCAATGTCTGGAGATATGTTTGGTTTTTACAGCTGAAGGGGGTTGCCATGGCATCTGCAGGGTCAGGTACAGGCATGCTGCTAAATGTCCTGCAATGCACAAAACCGTGCCCCACAGTAAGGAAGTATCCGTTCCAAAATACCAACCGTGCCGAGGCTGAGAAGAACCACTTCAGAACAGTTACGAGTTGTTTTGGACCTGGCCTAGAAGATCAAGTATTTGTTAACCAAAAATAAGCATCAAAATAATTAAACTTTAGAAAAGAGATTTTTGATCAAGGCTGTCACTTCTCACCAATAACAGATATTGGACTAAGCTCCTTCCAGATGTAAAATACGGTGGTCTGAGACATTTGAGACACCAAACAAGACAAGCTGTGCTTACAGGACACCGAAACAGGGACCGTGTGAGAAAACTATCTTTAGAGGAAAGCTTTTAAATGTACCCGAGGCTTCGTTTTAATTCGTGTATGGCAAGGCCAGTGGATCGGGAAGTGATTGGCATTGAAACGGTGGCTTGTCACGTCCCCAGGAGGAGCACACACACCACGCAGGGCCACACGGGGAAGGCAGAAGGAGTGAGCAGGAAACAGAGACCAAGCCTTTGCTGTGTCTTCCCTGGGAAGAAATGGAACGGTCGGGGTAAACAGCTGAGCAGGCTCAGGACTGGAAAGTGTGAATAATTTGGGTGGCTCTGGGCTCTATGGGTGGTCTCTAACTGCCCAGGAGCTGGACCTGGTGAATCATAACTGAGCACAGTAAGGTGTCCCTGACTGTGGGAACCTCATAAAAGGAGGTGGGTGGGGCTGTAGACTCGGGAATTGGTTGATTTGCTTCTCAAAGGCATGCTCACAAGCAAAGTATTCACCATCTCTAGGAATTAGCTAACCCTGGGAAGTGCAGTCCCTCCCCAGGTCCACCAGTCCTCAAGATGGCAACGCATCATACAATACAGAAAATAGGTGCAGTGTATATTTTAGCTCCACTCAAAGTCATGTCTCAAAAGTTTGAGTTTAACCACATTAATTTCTGTGCTCAGCTCCAGAGACAGGCTTTTGGAGTGGGCCCTGCTACACACTCCGAACACGTCTGACTCACATCTAAGGGATCTGTGTGTCTACTGTGAGCAGCCTCAGAATGGTGGAGTTTAAGGCCACAGATGAGAGAGGCCCCTTGGCATAGCAAGAAGAACCAGGACAAGCACCGAGAGAGCCACTTCCTGGCACAGCTCTCTCTGCTCTCTGTGTGACCTCCGGCAAGTTCCAGTTTCTAAGATCCTTTGACCTTTGACCATACAGTGGTGAGATGTGGGCAGTAGACTAGTCAGTGAGTGTCAGCTTGTACCACACTTCAGAACGGTGGGTGCTCGAGCTTCGAAAAGCACAGGCACCCATGGAGAAATCCATAGATTGTACAGCCTTGTCACCCCTCTGATGTGCTGTCCCTCTGGGACACTTGCTGCCCCTCGCACTCTGTCCCGGTGACCCTGTGGTATCCACCAGCTCCATTATTCTCTCATATTCTCAACTCCTTAATACCATACTGGGAAGTTCATTTTATTTCCCTTCAATCCCTCCATTTAAGCCATTTGTCATCAGTCATACGCAGAAATAAAAGCTAAAATTGAAGGCATTCCCTAGGATTCGGGAGTCTGGGGCCAGGATTTCCGCAGAGCTTCTTGGCTCAGGGAACTTGCCAGGGAGATGGATCTTTACCACGTCTAGCACAACCTCATCCTTGGAGCAGCGTCATTAATCGTTAATCCAATTTGTCCCTCATCCTCAGCTCCTAAAACTGCCTTCGGGTGACTTATTTCCTATCATCGCTTACCTCATAATTCCTTGAGATTTGACTTTACCTGAATAAATATAATTTCAGAAGGGAGCCCTTTAAGGGTACAGATCCCTCCCAAAGGAAACTACTGACCTGGCTTACGTATTCCTAACACGTACTCCATAGATTTATATTTATAAACAGGCCCAATCTTTATCAAGAAGTTTATTTAAAAATCTTCTTAATTAACAGAATAGGACTCAGCTATCGGGAAACTATTGAAATCAAGATAAGAGAACAACAGTACGCGAATGAGAACATAGTGTCAAAATTCCAGAAGAGCAAAGGTGCCAAGTCTGGAATTCCTTAGGGCCAAGGTAACAAAAGACTGTGATGACTGTACAGCTCCACTAGTTAATAAAATGCAACACGTCAGCAACAGACACGGGCTCTGACCTATTTCTTTTGTTGTTGTTGTTGTTTTAGGTTTTTCTGTTTTTGTTTTTTGGTGTTTTTTTTTGAGATGGAGTCTCGCTCTGTTGCCCAGGCTGGAGTGCAGTGGCGCCATCTCGGCTCACTGCAAGCTCTGCCTCCCGGGTTCCCGCCATTCTCCTGCCTCAGCCTCCCGAGTAGCTGGGACTACAGGCGTCCGCCACCACGCCCGGCTAATTTTGTATTTTTAGTAGAAACGGAGTTTCTCCATGTTGGTCAGGCTAGTCTCAAACTGCCGACCTCAGGTGATCCACCTGGCTCGGCCTCCCAAAGTGCTGGGATTATAGGCGTGAGCCACTGTACCCAGCGGCTCTAACCTATTTCTCAAATATATCACGTGGATGCTCAAGTAAGGACTTTGAACCACGTAATTCATGTATTGGTAGATCTAGTCCTCAAGTTAGGCATAAGAATAAATGGTTTTGTTTTCAATATTTTCCTGTGCACATATTTGTTTGTTGAAGTGTTAAGAATATTGTTAACTATGCATTTTTCAAAAACATGGGACGTTGTAATGTGCTGTTGTTCTTTTCCTAGCTTTTTGAAACAGAAATTAGATCACTAGTTTTTACACTTTTCTCTTTTCTAGCGCATGTATTTTGAGTTATGAGTTTCCCTCTGAGTACTGCTTTGGCTGCACACCATGTTTTTTGTAATAATTTTTCATTGTGAAATAATGTTGATCCTACAAAAAATTTATAAGGACATTGCAAAGCACTTCAGCTTGCCTCTTCACCGACCTTCCTAGTTGTTGCCCTTTTGCCATCTTCGCCCCATCTCCATCTCTGAGTGAATGCATCTGAGCCCCTGGTGAGCTGGTTCGCTTTCCTCTCCACAGTGAGGCTCGGCAGGAGGCAGGCAGAGGGCCTTGGAACCACTCCTCCACCACTGGCTTTGTCCTCACTAGACTTTTCAATGAGAGCCAGATGCACCTGTTCCTCTTCAGCATGGTGGTGCTGGTCTACATCCTCGCCATGGCTGGCAATGCCACCATGGTCCTCCTGATCTGGGCCGATGCCCAGCTCCACAAGCCCATGTACTTCCTCCTCAGCCAGCTGTCCTTCCTGGACATCTTCTTTTCTTCAGTCACTGTCCCCAAGATGATAGTGGCCTTCCTCTTTGATTGGACGAGCATCTCTTTTGGGGGCTGTGGGGCACAAATGTTTTTCTTCATGTTCCTGGGAGCTGCAGAGTGTCTCCTGCTGGCCCTCATGGCCTATGACCGCTATGTAGCCATCTGCAACCCTCTGCGTTACCCAGTGCTTATGAGCCGTCGCGTCTGCCTGCTCATGGTTGTGAGCTCCTGGCTTGGAGGGTCCCTCAATGCCTCCATCCAGACCTCGCTAACCCTGCAGTTCCCCTACTGTGGCTCACGAAAGGTCACCCACTTCTTCTGCGAAGTGCCTTCGCTGCTGATGCTGGCCTGTGCAGACACAGAGGCCTATAAGCAGGTGCTCTTTGTGACAGGTGTGGTGGTCCTCTTGGTGCCCATTGCCTTCATCACCACCTCCTACGCCTTCATCTTGGTGGCTGTGCTCCAGATGCGCTCTGTGGAGGGGCGTCAGAAGGCCCTGGCCACCTGTTCCTCCCACTTGACAGTAGTCAACCTCTTCTATGGGCCACTTGTCTACACCTACATGTTACCTGCATCCTACCACTCTCCTGGCCAGGATGATGTTGTATCTGTCTTCTATACTGTTCTCACACCCTTGCTCAACCCTGTCATCTACAGCCTCAGAAACAAGGAAGTGACTGGGGCAATGAAGAAGATCATAGGAGAGTGTGGTGTCCGTAAGAATGCTTGAGACCCAGGAGAGAGGGCTGGGAGACACACGTATGAGATCTGAGTTCACTCATAGGCATTGGGTCTGAAGATAGACAGACATCTATTGCATATGACTTTCCATATCTGGGATGTGTTTATGGCTCCAGGATCCTGTTCTAGGATTCCCTTCTGGGATGAGAGGAAGAGTCCCAAATCCACATGCAAGGAAGTGAAACGATTCCCCTCAAGCCACCACACTTCTACTTTTTCAGAGAGGTGTCCAGAACATCTGATTCCACTCATCATTCCCCCTGTCCATCTCAACAAACTCTAGTCAGGCTTTTTCTTCAGCCATCCGCTGGGCAGTGCAGCGATAAACCATCCTCTCTGTGTCACTGAATGTCTTAGGGCTTCCCTTCTTACCCAGTAAAAGCCAAAGGTCCCACCAAGCCCTTGATACCTGACTATTTCTCCAACCTTCTGTGTTGACATACTTCTTTTTCTTCACTGTGCTCCAGCCACACTGGCCCCCTTGTTCAAAATTCCCAAGCACAATCCCACCTCAGCATCCTTCAATGCTGAGTTCCCGATGCCTGGGGGATTTCCTCACATTTTTACATGGAGTTCTCCTTGCCTTCGTTTAGGAATTGTTCACATGTGACCATATCAAAGACACCTGCACTGATTACCCTTTCCAAAATAGCATTCCCACCCCACCTCACCATCTTGCTCTAATCCCATTTGTGTATTAGAATGTGTAGTTCAGGAGAGCACAGAATTTCCTCTTTAATGTATTCTCAGCTCCTAGAAGAGTTCCTGGCACATCGAGTCAATCAAAAAATAACTTTTGGATGAACAATTAAATCCAAAGAACATTTTCTTGTCTAATCACAACAGTGTTGTTCCTTTTTCTAGTTCCTCCTTCTTGAAAATCTTCCTTCCCTGGGCAATAATACCATGTTCCTTGTTTTCCTCCTGCTTCTGGTGCACTTTTTCCCACTAAGTGATGAAGGCCCTCAAAACCCAGTGCGGCTAGATACTTCTCTTCTCAGTCTACACTCCCTAGTCACTCCCATTCTTGGCTTCAGTTACCATTTGATACCAAAGCCTGAGATACATAACTATAGGCCACTCAGATGTCTCCTCCAAGCTCCTCACCACATACCCAAGGCCACCTCAGTACTCCCACTGGATGTTTCAAAGGCACCTCAAATTCACCATGTTAGGAAACAAAGTCATAATCTCACCCTGAAGCCTGAGCTTCTTCCAGGGCTGGTAACTGAGTGTTGTCACACGAGAACAATGAGTCTTTGTCACCACCCATATCCAGCCCCTCACCAGTTCCTGCCTCACCTCTCCACAAGATGGCCTCTGGGTCACCACTGCCACCACTACTGTGGTCCAAAAATACCTAAATTATTCTCACCTGGACGATGCAGGAATTTTCAAACAGACCTCCCTGTCCCCTTTCTTGCCCCACCCCTACATATACATTCACAACTTATTTTCCAAGATGTAGCCAAAGGGATCTCTAAACACAAATCTAACTACATATAGCAACCCCACTCCCGAAAGTCCCCTGCAATCCCCTTAGCAGTTCTCATTACACATATTAATTGCTGTTAACACATATCGCCATCTAACGTGATATATTTTAATAACTTACATTGCTTACTATGTGTCTTCTCCTACCACAAATTAAGCTCCATGAGGGCAGGTGTTTTTGTCCTTGCACTTGGCACATAGTAGACATTTATTAAATATTGAATAACTATTTGTTATTGAATAGTTCTTCGGATAAAACAAACTTTTTCGTTGCCTTCAAAGTTCTGCAAAGTCCAACATTCTTTGTCTCATTTCACTCGCCTCCTTAATACTCTACTCCTGCACCTTCCTGCTTCCCATTCTAGAGCTATTCTGCTAGTTGAGATGCTGCTTACTCCTCCCAGCCACCACACTCGTGTTCCCTTCTTTGCGTCCATATGTACTCAAAGGTTAGCTTCTACTTATAAGTGAGAACATGCAGTATTTAGTTTTCTGCTCCTGTGTTAGTTTGCTTAGGATAACGGCCTCCAGCTCCATCCATGTTGCTGCAAAGGATATGATCTTATTCTTTTTTATGGCTGCATAGTATTCCATGGTGTATCATATTTTGTTTAGTCTACTGTTGATGGGCATTTAGGTTGATTCCATGTCTTTGCTATTGTGAATGGTGCTGCAATGAACATATGGGTGCTTTTGTCTTTATGGTAGAATAATTTATATTCCTCACCTTCTTTGTACTCCAATTTCATCTGAGCAGATACCTGGAGTAAAGAATATATTTCCGTTACTGACAATATATTGTATTCTTGAAAAATGCTAAGAAAGTAGACATTGTGTTTTTATTATAACAGTGATAACTATGTGAGGTAATACATTTATTAAACAGCTTGATTTAATCATGCCACAATGTATGTATATTTTAATATACTTCAAAACATCATGCTGTACATGATGAATACATATAATTTTATATGTCAATTAAAAATACATTCAAAAATAAAGTAAAATTTAAATGTTAAAATGAAAAACAAGAACAGGTGTCCCAGTTACTCTCGTAGCTAGGTAAGCTCTGGCAAGTGGACTACAGGTATAAAGGTTTGTGCTTTCCAGCAGTTCCTCAGAAGCCAGGGTAATATCACATACCTCTCGACATCACCCACCTTTCTTGCTGGCTGGTGTGTAGTCATGGCGGCTGGAGCTTCAGCAGACATCTTGCAGCATGAGGCAGAAGTCAGGAAATGAGAATGTGAAGCAAATATAAAAGGAAGCTTCTGAAACCATGGAGTAAATCACAGCCACTTGCCTTGCTGGGCATTTGCAGTGAACCTAATTTTACCTACATCCTTTCACACCAAGAAGTGATGGTTAGAGAGCAGACCCCCTTTCAAGGCACGGGAAGAATAACTGTACCATTCATGCGGTAGAATGCCAGGAAAACCTTGCTGAAAAGTAGATGAACAGCACTAGAAAACACACATCAGAAAGCAATGTGGGGACTGTAAGAAGATCAGTAGCTGTGAGAATTTAATGTCCACATGGAAGAAGTGGCCGGCCCTGATTAGACTTGACCTTCACTTAAGGAATATGTCATAGTATTTCCACTATGTACAATTTATAATGTAGGCCATTTGGTTTTTGTCTTTTAATAGAACATGAAAATGGAAAGATTTAAAAACCAAGTAATTAGGTGATATTTGCCAGGTGACATGACGAAGCCTAGCTCTCTTGTACATGGAACATTTCAAGGTAAAGTGTGGAAGCACAAAGCTAAATTTCAGGAAAAACTTAAGGACAGACCTCAAGCTTCAGGGAATATACTTTTGCCTGAGAAGAAAATGAGGGAGGGATAGTGACAAACTGGGAAAAAATGACAAATTCTTGAACAATTACAGAAGACTTACAAAGATTAAATTACCTTATCCCTAACATATTACAAACTTGCTCTTTATTTAATTTTATCCTCATCAGAAGTTTTCTGTATACATTTTTAAAATTAATATGTAATAGATATATATATTTGGTGGGTACATGTGACAATTTAATACGTTTGTATAATTTATAGAGATTAAATTGATCTGAGACCTGAAACCATGAAAATTCTAGATGATAACATAGGAAAAACCCTTCTAGCCCATTGGCTTAAGCAAAGACTACATGACCAAGAACCCAAAAGCAACAGGAATAGACTCAAATTCCTCACATGATCGTACCCAAGCACCAGTTTTACCACAGGATCTCATTCTTGTTTTATTATAACAACACAATCATCTACCTTCCCTTTATTTGAAGGCAAAGTGGATGTACCCAAAGAAATGTCCAATGGCAAATGATGCATTTTCTGCAAAGTCTTAGGAATAGACAGCTGCCTAGAAAAACTCAACCACTGTCCACCCAAACATAGTATGTGCTATGTACTCTTCATTGGCAGTATAACATTGGGTATTTTTTTTTATACTTTATTTAAAAGGTGCAATTGAATAGAACAATCTAGAGTTACAACTGGATGAGCTTTCCAAGGAGAACAACAGAAGATGAACATTCCGGGGTGGAGATGGCAGTGACCAGATAAGAGCAAAAATATCCTGACACTTTCTAAAGAAAGAGGTGTCTAGATGTTTACTGTCCTCCAGTCAATGGGTCAAGTCAACCCTGGAAGCTTATTTTTATTTCTTTTTTTGCGAATAGTGAATACCAGATTCCTCTCAGTTTAGTTTAGAGAACTGATCCTTTATCTTATTCAATCAGTGAGTCGCAACGAGAATAGGTTCAGGACTTTCTCCTCTCCATTCTGTGTGGATGCGAATCAAACATCAGTTGGGAGCCAAACTGATATGGGCTAAGTTCTAGATCACTTAAGATGCGCAGAAGGCTCTTGGCCAGTGTTGGAACAGGAACTGTGGATCTCTCTTCTCTCAGAAGGGTTGGGAACTTTTCCAAGTAGAAAATCTACATTGCTCTCCAATTTTTAGACCATTTGCCTTTTATGTGAGAATTTTTTAATATTCATAGATTTTTGCATATCTACATTACAGAGCTGTCTTTATCACATTATCTCAAAACTCCTCTGATATACATTTAAAAGGTTTTTTTAAATCGTGGTGAAATATGTATAAGATTTACCCTTTTAACCATTGCAAGCACAATTTAGTGGCATTAAGTATATTCAAAAATGTTGTAACTATCACCACTATCCATTTCCAGAACTACTTCATCGTTCAAATAGAATCTCCACCCCTTAAACAATAATTCCTGATTCCCTCACTCCCTAGCCCCTGGCAACCACCGTTCGACTTTTTATCTCTGTGAATTTTTCAGTACTCTAGATTGTTGATATAAATGGAATTCTATAATATTTGTCCTTTTGTGTCTGGTTTAGTTCACTTAGCATAAAGTTTCCAAGGTTCATTCATGTTGTGGCATATACTAGCATTTCACTCTTTCTTAAGGCAAAATAATGTGTCATTGTATGTATATACCACATTTCATTTATCCTTT